CTTTAAAAACTTATTTTGTAGAAGATGCGCCGCACGGCGTCTGTCGTCGGGGCGGGAGAGGCGGGAGTGCGCAGGCGGAGGCAACGCCCTGACGGGGCACGTCGCCCGCCCACGTGAGTGGTTCGGTCCGATCGCACGCTCGCTTCACCCGCCAGAAGAAAATGGGGCGGGAAAACAATGGCGCCATCCGCATCAAAAAAAAAAAAGTAAAAACGGAGCACGAAGGATAACGCACCAGGCAGCGGGAATAAAAAAGGAAAAAAAACGAAAGGATAAGGGGAAAAAAAAGGAAAGACTCAAAAGAGGAAAAAAAAACGGACAATGAGAAAGGTGCAACGAACTCCTAATAAGTTAAAATACGGAAACAAAAAAATGACAGGAGGAGGAGGAGGGGGAGGTTGGGTGGAGGAATGCCGCGCATGTGCCTGCGCATGCACACGTGCACGTACACACACACACACACACACACACACACACACACACACACACACATCGTCCGTCGCTTATCCTCTCACTCTCTTGATGAGAAGTGGGGAGGTGGCGAATAAGGAAATGTGGGGCTTCGTTGGAAACTGGTGGTGGTGAAGCGCATTAGCGTAACACCAACACGAAATGGGGCAGCATGGGCTAAAAGGGGTCTCTGCCGCTTTGGTACTTGACAACCCCGCGATGGTGTCGCCCACGCCCGTGGTTTGGAGGTCTTTCCGTGAGCGGGGGCTAATTTTTTTTAAACGGGTGTACAGGCTCCATTTTTCTGTGCCGCGTCCCACACGCTTGCGCAAGCCAAAAGGACGCGGGACGCCCAGGCGAATTTTCCTCCTGTGAGCTTTGGGTAGCGAGGTGGAGTCATAAAACCACGCAACAAGAAAAGGGCAAAGTGTATCCTGGTCCTTCTGGAGCGGGAGGGATGAGTGGAGGGAAGGGGGGTGGGACAAAAAAACCAGTGCGTTAAGTCAAGAGGCAAAACTATTGAACTGTCGCTGCTTTGCTTGTGATTTTGCATCATTGGTTTAATTTTTCTCCTGTTTCTTCTTAACCCTTTTGTTTGATGTTGTGTCGAGAGAGCGGTAGCCTGCCCCTCACACGTGCGTTTTGTCACGCCTTTGGCCTCATCGCACTTTCGCCGTGGGCGACGCCAGACGCACTTTTTCCCCGCCATTTTGTGTTGTTGTTGATGGCCTGTGTGAGGTGCAAATATGTATATATATATATATATATATATGCCACAGTACCCATCAATAACTTCATTTTTGCAATCATGAATGTAAAGGTAACGAGAAGGGGAATAACTTTTTGTGTGTGTGTGTGGGCCCAGACATCCCAACCCTCTCCGCCCCCGCGCAGCTCGGGGGCGGCGGGGAGTTAAAAGCCGCACTCGGCACCTTCTTTTTCTCAGTGATTTGACGACGTTGACTTCAGAGGAGTCGCCCCCACCAAGGCAGTGCGATGAAGAGTCAATTCGCGTTTTTATACTGATCTTATGACTGAACGACTTTTTCGTTTTCCCTCTTATCATTCTTTTTTTAAAGAAGAAGGGAAAAGTGGGCGGTCTGCTTTTCCTTTTTGTCAACCCCCTTCTTTTCGTTGCTTAAGTCCGAAGACCAGGGCCGCCTCGAAGGGAAGAAGGGGCTGCGAGGGGAAAGAACAAGAAATTGCTTCGCCGAGGACGCGTGATGAGTGCTCCGGAAATTATTACACTACCGCCTCGCGACGGAGTGTCAATGAAGTTGAGGCTGCGTTGGGGCGTTGAGCAAGATGATATACCTGCCCTTGAGGTCCTGCACGTTGCTTCGTTTCCTGTGACGTACAACTATGAGTACTACCACTGGCTGCTCTCCGACTCGTGTCTGGCCTTAATTGCCTTCACGACCCCAAACTGCATCAAATCTCTGCTGACTGCTGCAGAAAATGACAAAAATACGGCAATGGAAAGCGACACCAAAAATTCTTCTAACGATAGTGATGTGGATTGTGGTGAATCCGGCTCACTCTACTCTGTGATAGTTGGATTTTGCATCGGCCAGGCAGCCTATGGTCGACGAATTGATGGTCGGCTTCTGAGCACGCCGACGGGATACTTGGGGTCATTTGCGGTGGACAATCGCGTGCAGCGTCGTGGTGTGGGGGAGGTGCTCCTGGATCGCTTCTTGTCCTACATGCTCTTTAGTATACCCGTTCCACCTCACTTATTCCTGGACTACTCGCCCCCGCCTTACGGGCGCGAGCATTTATGGCGAGTTGGCTCCGCGCTGGCTGCCGTTGGCGTGACGCTCGCACAGTGGTGGTTCGGTAAGAGGCGAGCAGGGGCAAATACCGCGGTCGGGGAGGCTTTGAGGCATACAAACTCGTCCGACGTCGGGAGCCCCGCGGTTAATACGCACAACAGTGAGGGTCAAGTTGGTTTGGGGGAGGTGTGGTTGCACTGTTTGGCGTCCGACACAAACGTGCTCAGGTTTTATGTAAAACGTGGCTTTGCTTGTACTTTTTTAGCGAAAAATTTTTACTTTTTTGATGGTTGCCACCATCACGGAATGCTCCTTGTCTACCGCCGAGATGCGTCACCGAGGGCCTGTCATGAACGCGATTCTACCTGTTCTACTGCACCAGCGTTGGAGAAAGCAGTTAGCCACACGAATTCGCTCGCCACGGGCTCTACCCATGGAATTCGGCCAAGACGCTGCCAGTCTATTTCGCCAGAAGCACTGGAAGACGACTTGACTGTTACGAGTATTGAGGTGCCGCTTGCTACGGATTTATCCGGCCTGCGCCAGGAGTGGAGCTCTGCCTGGCGCGAAGACTCCACGCAGCCACACCAGTCGAAATCCTTGTCCAGTGTCCTGCTGCGTGTTGTGGAGGCGGCGGCGGCCTTTTTATTTTGCGTTGCTTTATTGGTAACATGTGGGGTGTGACACATCTAACCGATTCTGAGTGGAAGGGATCAAATATGTTTCCCACTTTCTCAACAAGTGTGGGTGTTCCCTGTCCTCCATTTTTTTTTTTTTTTTTTTGCGGCGTGAATGGAGTGTTGGGCGAGGTGGGGGGATTGGGCGGGAAAGGAGGAGGAAGAAGCCGCCCGCAGTGACGTCATGGGACTGTCGGATTCGGGAGGAAGCGAATTTGTGCGGGGTGAGGGGTGGGGGACACACGATGTCGCCAAATTGCACTTTTTCTTGGCAATATTTTGCGGCGGTCTCTCACTCTCTTGTTTTTTCTTTTCTTTTCTTGTTTTCACCTCATGTGGGTAGTCGGTGCTGCTACTTTTGGGCATTTATTCAGCGAACGCGGGAGGTGGAAGAGAAGCGCACTGCGAAGTCATGTCCTCCAAAGCAGGAAGCGTGGAGACCATGTTGGAGGCCATCCAGGGCAAGTTGGAGGCTCTGCATGCAGATATCAAGAAGTTTGCTTCCCATAGTGTTTCCTTCCACAATGGAGAAAGCTCTTTCTCCCGCTCGACCCCCGTTCGGCAACTCTCAAACGGAAATATAATCTTGCACACGCCAAAGATCCCTATTGGGCGTGCATCGCGCTTATGTGCGTCAAACTTTGCCGAAACAGTAACTCCAACGGGCACCACATCTCCCTCTTTTCTTCCTGTTATATCAGGCGGCGGCAGCGGCAGCGGCAGCGGAGGCGGAGGAGGAGGAGGAGGAGGAGGAACTGGACGCGCCGGATTTCAAGAAAAATCGATTTCTGTGGAGTCGCCGGATTCTCTACATAATCGACGAAGGGCAGAAGCGGCAAAGCAGAAGCTGCGGGAGTTTGTGAAACCAATGATATCACCTCCAGAGGAAAAGAACGTCCCAGAGCTGCGCAGTGCCCCTTGTGCGTGGCTGCTAAGCATTGCAATCGCCTGCAGCTACATTTCTGGCGAACGCATCACCATTGAAGACATTCTTCGACAAAATCGTCTTGGGCTTCACTACGTTTCTTTCCCTTCTGTGACGCTTGCGGAGCTTTTTGACGTTACAAGTGAGTTTCTCACGAACCACCCCAAGTTGCGGGAAATGCGTCTTCGCTGTGAGGTGGCAACCTTTGACACCGAGACGCGGGATGAGCTGGGAGACTTCATGGGCATGGGAGAACGCCTGCCCATCATGACCCTCTCCCAGTTTCGCAAGGATCTCTCCAAGAATGACCCGCAGTCTATATGTATTGTGAACTTTGATCCCTACCTGATTGAGCAACACGAAATACGCATGCGACTTAATTACATGGAATTAAATGACTCAGAGCATCCGCTGGAAACAGTTACTCCACGGTGGCCCAGAAACAATCAAGGTACGTTTGGTTTGATTCTTAGCTTTAGCCCCGCTTTGCACTCTGTTGTCGTAGGTACGCCAATCTTATTGGAGGATGGCCGTATCGTGATTGAAGAACACACCGTCCCTCTACAAGTCCTCTATAAGGCTCTCTGCGTCAAGGATAACTACTGTAATCGTTCTCGGGGCTTTGTGCGTCTATTTTTCAGTGATCAGTTTATTGAAAAGGTTCCGTCTATCTTTCCTCTAAATCTCCTTGACGGCTCTCTTGCTGGCGGTATGCTGTCCACGGCGCTTGACACGTCCATTGCTCCCCATATTCTTGGGATGTCGCTTATGCACCACCTCGTGGTCAACGTGCTTCTTGACGAGGCGGAGCGACGGCGACAAAATGCCGCAGATTTCCACGGCGTGGTGTTGCGAGGTATTCCTGTCACAATGGTTTGCCAGCAGCTTGACTTGTGTATCACGACCATTGTTGGTGGGAGCAAAAGGGTTTCCGTTGCTTCTGCGTTTAGCTGGTATCGCGTCCTTTTGCAGAAGTTAAAGCTTGAAAAAACTATAGCAACTGGGATTGTGCTTGTAGAACGTCGTGGCGGGGATGAAGATGGACCAGTAAATATTGCGGATGATGTCTTTATGAAGCATATCGAGCTTGCTGTGGAAAGTGGGAGTGTGTTGCTTATCGGGTTTGACGTAAACATTGCCCTCAATGTCAAGGTGGACAACCGACCTGAACCGTGCCATTTTGCCATTGCTATTGGCATAGATCAGCAACGTGGCATAGTGAGGTTGGCCGACGTGAACGTGAAAAAGTACCGTAAGACCTGGCACCTACCGGTCACTAGGCTCTACTCCGCCGTCATTGGCTACGGCTATATTTTGGCAGCCAAGTCGCAGAAAATCATTGACGAGCTGAACGCCGCGGGGTTTGAGAAGACTGTCCTGAGTGAAGCTCGCTATTCACTTCCACCGATGCAGCGGATGCTGCGCTTTGAGTATCCGGCCAAAAATTACGTTGTCACCGTCCTCGCTGACGCTTTTGACCGTCTTGGATTTAAGGCAGATGTGAAGAGGGTCGTGAATTACAGCGGATTCCATCTCTCCTTTATGCTCTCGGCGCATTTGCCTTTAGAAAACGCGGCCACTGTGGCACGCAACTACTCTCACACGCACGCGGAAGACGGCGTGAGTGTTGTTACGAGGCACATGGACAAGGAGGCGCCGCATTCCACCACCAGTGGCCTGCAGCAACAAATCCGAGCTGCGGTACAGTCCCCAAAGTCACGTTGCCTAATTGTGAATTTTCAGGCTTCCCTCATACACTCCAATAAGGAGGTGTGGAATGGCAGCGATGGCGGCTCGTACGCGATTGTGCTTGACTTCGATGAGGAAAAATCGCTTGTGACACTTAGTGACGCTAACCAGGAATCGTTTTATAGAACTTGGCTATGCCCGTTGGATGTGCTTTTTGAAGCTCTATCTGCTGTAGACTCGATCTCCCTACGTGCTAGAGGCACTCTCATGCTTACTGCTTCCTCGCAGCACGATATGTACCTTGATTGCTATGGTTATGATATGCGTCATTCACTTGTGCACCATCCTTTTAAACCAAGTGTTTGGCCTGCGTTTCATTGTCTTGCCTTGGTCGCATCTGAAATGAGCAGCGGGGACTCGACGAATGGTCAGTGCCTGCAGTTTTCGGCGGAGGATTTCCTTTACTCAATGCCATCCTTTTCCGTTTACACCGTGCTCGCAAAGGAGTTGGAGAGCGAGCACATTGTGGCCCTCGCCAACACTGCCTTTGAGCGGCTGGGGATTGCGCTCGAGGCCAAGGTTGTAGATGTCGCGGTGGCAGGCTCTTTTTTAAAGGCGTGCTGTGATGAGATGGTTAAGGGGAAGCCGGTTACTATGACGCTGCTGGGATACGACACACGGCCGATCCATAGAGTTGCGGGGTTCTCGTTTGGGGTCATTAACCGCGTACGCGGAACAGGAAATGAGGGAACCATACAACTGGTGGAGGGCAATGGCTGTGCCTTTGGGTCTGTCTGGGAGCGTCCAGCGCAGGAGCTACAGCATGCGGTGACAGCAATGGTGAGGATTATGCGGCGTTGAAGCAATGATTTCTCACTCAATAGCCTTTGTTCTTCTTCTTCAGTTGCAGAATAACAATATAAACCAAATAAATCGTGTGTCTCATAGCACCGCAAGGGATGGTCGGCTTTTTTTTTTTTTTTGAAAATTTG